AAAGAGCGATCAAGAATACTCCTCTATATGACCATACATGCGTCAGAGTGCAAACATGCATGTCACCCATTCACACAACACAAGATAAATGACAATAGCTCTATACAAAAGTGAAAAAGTAAAACATCCCTAACATGCTCTAAATGCACAGCACTGCTCCATTGATAATTCATTTATTCATTGATGGCAGTGAGTACTTTTTTGTTTGTGTAGTGTCTGAATTGACAGCTTATAAACTCCAGGTTGGTGAACAAGCTCTGATTACCAAGGCCTGTCGGCTCCAAATCAGTATTATGAACCCTTGTACGTGTTGTCCTGTTGGCAGTTTCACATGTGTATTGCTGCGCACAGCCAAACAAAGACAATCATGTTTGTCCTTCGACGAGACACTTCCTGGGGGAGTTCAGCCAACTTTGTGTGAGTGCCAAATCTCCCTCTACAGGAGAGGTGAGTCTGAACAGAGGGAGTTATTCCCTGTTCAAACATTTGTGAAGTGCTCCTGCAGAACACAGTCACAGGTGACGTAACGGCAGAAGGATCAGGCCTTCAGCAGCGAGCCCTCATGCCCACTGTTCATGACACACGACTGCTGTGGGGAGGGGGCAGCAGATGGAGAGCAGGGTGTTTGGAGGCAGGCAGATGTCCAACTGGAGAGAGACCAGGCCACAGTCAGGGTCAGCGACTGCACAACGCCTGGAAAGTGCTTTTAAAAGAGTTCTTTTGAAACCTGTGGCTCTCACTGCACCGTGTTTTGAAAACAACATATTTACTCCGACAGAAGCCAGAAGTGCAGCTCTGGTGCCAGACTCACAACATGTAGGTCTCTATTGCTGATTTATAGTTGTAGAAGTGTTGACCTTGTTTTAGTCCTATACTGGAAATTAAATGCACCATTTTGGGCTTGAAAAAATATCCAACTGGATTAGCCTGCTAAGTTTTGGCATATTTATAAAAACATTTCTTATTGGCGCATTTCCCACTTCTCAAAACTTTACTGAATTGCACATTGTTCCCATTGGCAATCACTTAAGTGTCCTTTCTTATTTTGCTTGGCCAAATTATCCATCTGTAATTTGCATTTGCTTTACCATTTCCATCTAATTGGAATAAAATGGAATCTTTGATTAGTCTTCAAGGGCGATGAAAATATATACCGTATTTTAAAAGGCTTTTAGGACATCATTTCCCTGGGCAAGCTTGACGAGAAGAATGACATTATAGACAAAAAAACATTGCTCCATTATACTAGACTTGGCCACAAAATGTGTGTGATATGAACTAAAATGACACGTAATTAAACATCTGAAGTGTGTTGTTTTAGATTTAAATGTCGTTCATGTTTTTTCTTCACCAAATTATTGTGTTTGAAAACAACCTTCAAAGATCAATTCCATAATTGTCAAAATAAATTAAATGACAACTGTCCAACCGCTCCTTCAAAACACAACAGTAAGTAACTGTGAATTTACAGCGGTTTGAAAACTGAAATAACAATAACATAAAATGGGCTCGTAAAAACATTCTTTTTAGAGGGTTTTTATATCAATTGTTTATTAATTATAAACATGTCTTCACTGTTTGTGCACTCTATACTACGTGTATGGCACAAATGTATCGTAAATGTATCTTTCATCTTGCTTGTTCTACTTTCTCATTTACTCATTTACAGTCTCCTGCCATGAAGATGCCATTGCTTTGAAAATAAATCCTGTTTCTCCCACCCACTGCTTTCTGATGTTTTCTTTGCTTTTACAACAAATAAAAAACAACACATTACTTAACTGTTAATTGTGGCAATGCAGTTTCTTTTTTTAAAGCTGGACTGAACTTACGGAAAACTGACTTGTATAGAAATCTAAATCAATGTTAATCTGCAAACAACGGCTTGTTTATACCTTTTACCAATCAGTCATAGAATATATTACATGGTTTAATTTAAAGCATGTCTCGCACGGACTCGACCCCGCGCCACCGGGGAGCTAGTGCTGCGATTTAACCATTAGACCAACATTGCACACAAGGGTGGTGGATTCCAGGCAGGTAGTTGAACTGTCAATGAGGAACTCACTGCCACCACCACGCAGCAAGTTTTACATCATAATTTGCAATTGTCGCAATTTTTCAAAGGCGTCCCGATATAAATCCTCGTTTTGGTCTTTGTTTTGTCATTAATGATTTGAGAGTCATAACAAGACCTTTTTTAGTTCTGCGGCCACATGTTATTTTACCAGTGAGATTAGCCCATGGATCTATTATAATAACTGGATAGGGTATTACTAGCTTGTTGCTGAATAACCCATGTGCTCAGGGGATTCTCGCGGTACTGCAGACTGAACCAGACTAAATTCACGTGGGCTACCCAGAAATTTTCCCCATAGGACTCAATGCATATTAAAACAGCTCAACCTAAGCTGACAGAGAACCTACAGCTTTCATAAAGGTCGGATTTTGTGGGGATTTTAGTGTCCCTTGCCATCCTGAACTTTTTTTCTTCTTAAATCCTTCGGTTTTGTTTAAATCCACACTTTAGTGCCACAAACTCTGCCCGTCTGGCTCTCGCTCTAACTCCCGGTCTGATGAACTGCTCTGATTGGTCAGAGCGCGGCCGAGCCCCTCTGTGCACGTGCGTGAGACCCGGTGTGAGACCCACACACTCATGTTTGGCGCAACGCATTATGGGAGATCATCCACTGCGCAGAACCGGGAGGACCAGACGATGCCCAAATACAGGCGAGTTTCCCATAGATCTTTGCGAGTTTCAGGCGACTTCCGCTAATCTTACAGCCTCCATGCCGTCACAAAGCACCACTGAGCACAACCATTCATTTGAATAGGGCGCCTTCTTGAATCGCCGGGGCTTGGATTAGCCGCGGGGAATTCTGGCAACCCGAATCACCGACTTCCTGATTGGCGAAAAAGCGGCGGGTGGGACATCAAAATGAAAATAACAACTTTTACGGGTCGTAAAACCAATTTTGATATTCAAATATCTCGGCTGAACTACTGTAATCAGTTAAAGATGCATTCGAAAAGAGGATGATTTAATAACGCCTTTTGAAATATTGGGGCCATTTAATGATGACTTGACATGTAAATATTACATATTGCTACTTTATTGTCTATAGTGATGTCCTTATTGGAGACAGGCGGCTTCATAGGTGGTTTGTATGACGTGGTTTACTAATTTACTAGTTCATAAACTCATACTTTGAAATATAGGTACTGCAGCAGCAAATATTACTTTGTTTTGTTTTATTGAAAAGATGTATCAAATAAAATAAAGCACCTTCTGGTTATGGGAAAATCCAGCCACAGCGTCCACAGTGAGTTCCAGTGGTATACAGTATACATGGGGCACATTTGAACCTGTCTCCTCTGACTGATGGCACCACACAGCACTTCCTGTCTGGTCTGGGAGGCGGCTGTGGACAGGTCCTACAGTATACTACACTGAATTGGTTACAGTCACCATCGCTCCACATTACTGCCCTGCTCTTGGCTCTCTGGGCATTACAGGTTACATGTTGTGTCGAGTACAAATTGGCTTTACAACGCACAACAACAGAATCCCAGGTGATGTTGGTGTGGGCCCTGTCTGTGTAATGTATGGAATCTTTGCTGCCTGGGAGGTAGAGAGACACCTGCAGACTGGGAGAGCCTGAAGGTAGACCTCATTTGGCCCAGGGAGAGAGCAATTATCGCCCTTTCCCCCACGGACGGAAATGTAATTCACTTCGATTAAGCTAATAGTAGCGTGGAAGTGGTCCAAAGGTTCTGGTAGCAAAGTTCATGAAAACCATTAAAAAACATTGGTTATTTTTAATGTTTTGTTTTAAAGCTGTCCTGGTGTTTTGTGAGAAGTGTTCTGACACCCGCTTCTTGTGATAGACATGTTTCTGCTTTGCGTGAAAATTTGCTCATGGGTTCTGAACATGCACATTCCTCACTTATGGATCATTTTAGCGGCTGAAAAAAACTGTATTTCACTGTAATAAAAGTTGACAGTGAAATGACCTTCCAGAGATCTAACGTCACCTAATGTCACTTGGGCTGAGTATCTTTCTGAGTTTGTCAATATGCTATACCTAACTACTAATGAAGTTACTTTTTATGCAATATATTCATAAATTATATGAAATGATTCAGGCTTTTGGCCACATAACGCTCAGAAAACACTATTGATGTATTTATGTTTACTATATTGAGGATGAATTGTAAATGAAGACAAAATATCAAAACAAAATCTAAAATCTATAGTATTTTAAAATTCAAAAAATAAGGAAAATCTAATTATTATTATTATTTTTTTTTAGCACAGCCCTATTGTAACTGTAGCTGAGTGAAGCCACATGTTTGTTTATAATGTAAAAGGAATATGTAATGACAGCCAGTACAAATATAACACGTGTAAGAACCTGTGCAAAAGGCAGGTCCAACACCAGGGAAGTTAGATTTCACTTTTAAAAGACTTTTGCCCCTTTAATAGTCGCGATAAGAGTCGTCTTACCTGATTCAGCAAAACGTCACCAGCAGAATCAAGCTGACACATTTCATATAAATATTTGAAACACACATTTCATAGTTTTGTTTTTATTAAACTTTTAATTTTTCATATGAAACAAAGCAATTTTTTTTTCCAATGTCTTTGAAGTGTGAAATGTCTTTTGTCATGATTCTCACAGTACATTCAATTAATGTTGATCTAAAAGAAAACAGCTTTGAACTTGGCACTTAGAAAACAACCACAAAGAATTGTCACCTTTATTCATTTAGAACAAAATTTACAAACCCATTCAGTCATTTTTTTTCTAACTTTTGTGTTTTTTAAACTCAACGCTGGAGAATATTCAAAATACACTTTTAATGTTGCGTCTCTCTCTCTTTGTACTTACAAATATGTACATGAAAGTCAGAGTGTCCGCTGACCTGTCATAATAAAAATCCTCTGTATTTATACTCTTCTCTGTGGCGTGGCTGAGCTGCGTCCGTCAGAGTCCTGCTCAGATGGACGTACCGTGGCTGGGCTCGCTGGCCTCGGGGATGGCCCCCCCGGGAACAGGTTGGTATGACATTGGCATGGGGGTCTTGAGGGGGCTCTGCCTGAAGAGCCCGCCGTTAGGAGCCCTATGTTTGCAGCGGATGGAGGGCATGGTGGCACTGCTGAGGGGCAGAGGAAGGGTTCGGCCTCCCACTGCGCCCAGTGTCCGGCCCGGCCCGTGGCTCTCCTGCAGGAAGGAGGTGACTGAGAGAGGCCCCCCGCGGTGGGGAGGGTAGTCCCGCGCTGACAGGGCCTCCAGAGACTGACTGGGCTGCATGCTGCCAATGTCCAGAGCAGAGATCTCAATAGACTGTCCCGGGAGCTGCTTGTGGGCCAGGTCATCGTCCAGCAGGCTGTTGAGGCGATGGTGCACCTGCTCCAGATTCATCTCCTTGTCCTGAGAAACAGCAGTGCATGACGGGAGTGAGTGGAGAGGGGAGAAGGGAAAAGCAATGGAATGGCACAAGAATGGAGCATAGAGTAAAGCAAATGGTCAGCAGGGATAGTGAGGGGAAATGAGAAGAACAAAGACATGGTTAGACATTTGTCACAACCTTCTATATCATGATCCCAACATGATCCCATCCTTCTAATAAAATAAAGACACAAAAGTCACTGATGCACATGGTGACAACAAGATGATGGCTAAAGTCACAAACGTATGGAAGTTAACGGTTTTGTTTTTAGAACTTAAATTACACAATAATGCATTTTATAATTATGTTGAGTTATTTACAACTGTTTTATATAAGGCTTATGGCTTAGACAAACGAAATGAGAGACATGCTAACGTATGAAACCGGTGCTAAGGGAGGAGCAGTCCACTATGCAAAGAGGATATGTCTGGGGCCTGCTTGCATCTGGACTGCCCCCGAACCTCCAAAGAAACACATGCAGAGGAAACAGGAGAGACCATGGGGTGAGATGACATACAGTCATACAGCGCATGATGTAACCCTGCCAAGTCCCATGCTCCGCCTCCTGGTCTTGACGTAGCCAATGAGCATCCAGCAAGAAGAATTGCTTTAAGTGCCTCAACCTTCTTGTAATTATATATCAATGTACTTGTGAGTTTTACAGTCATTGACATATAAATATCTACCATGGAAACAGTTAGAGCGGCTTCAATGGGGTTTTAACTCACGGAAAGTGCTCTCATAACAAGCTGACCGTACAACCATTGAACCACACCAGGCCTGCTGGATAAAACAATTGCACTAATGCTATTAGATATTACCAGAGTGAGAAGTATGATAATCATATTAATTTATATTCAAACTATTTTATGTTTTTGTTTATGTGTAAGAGTTTTGATACTGAAGCAATGAAAATTTAGATTCATAGATCCATAGATTATACAAATAAAGCACACTTTACATGAAACATAAATAATTCTGATGGTTGTATGTGGCAGTTATGAGGGGACAGAACAAGCGCAGTAAGTCAGAGTACCAAGAGAATGGATACATTTGAGTTACTGGTTTAGAGGGGGTGGAGTCTGTCTGGGAGTGGTAGTAATAGTAATTTGGTTACTGGTCATGCGGCTCTAGGATTAAACAGTGCAGCGTGTGCTGTGCTCACACTTTAGTTTAGGGATCCATGTCAAGCCTTGTTGCCTGGACACCCGCCTGCTGAAGAGGGGCTGCCCAGTCAACAGCAGCAGGATGCACTTGGAACTCTAAAGTGTTAAGACTTGAATGGATTAGCTAAAAAGTGCTATTGTACCACTGAAGTGCTCATTGACCCCGAAGTACATTTGGCATTATTTTAAGTGTGGTCACCACTATGATTAGCATGTGTGTTGTCACTGAGAGAGTCCCTAGGAGCACCCCATCTCTCTCCCACATGAGCAGAATGATCACATGATGTCTGTGCTATGGCTCAGAGGCACACCTATTATAACTGCGTGTACTGCAGCTCTACTAAATCGGGGCTGGCGTCAGCGCCTGCTGGATCCATAAAGTAGAGTGTGGCAGTGGCATCTCTGGGTAGCACCGGGGGGCCCAGGGGGCGGGGTCTGGAGCGGGGCCTGGGCGGGGCGGGGGGAGCGGCCGTGCTGCTCTGGGTTAGGAGGCCGGGGCTCGGGCCCAGACCGGTGGAGTCAGCGGTCACCTCTTTGGGCTGTTCTCTCCGGCAGGGGTTACTGTTCCACCATGTCTCCAGAGCAGCTACGAGCAGCGCCAGGAGCAGGCCCGCGGCCAGGATACAGAAGACCCCCGCGAAACTGTGCAACCGCAAGGCCCGCCCCTCCGGCTGAGCGTCCGCGTGGCTCTGCAGGTCACAGCGACCCTTCTTAGGCCACCACTTTTGCTTCAGAATGTCCAAGTCCCCCTTCTGCTGCAGCTCCAGGATCCTGCACACACCAGCACGTGAAGTTACTGACACAAATATTCATCAGACATGGACATTTATTGGACAAAATCTCGAAAGTTGCAGGTTAGGACACAATGGTTGTTTTGTTGAGACTCATCCTCAGTCACTTGCGGGTGGCTGAAGATGAGTCTGAGGATGCTTCTAATCCAGAGGTCCTTTGGTGGCCTGAGTATCACAACAAAGATTTGCCTTTGCTTCATTTGTTGTAAAATCCTGGGAAAGGAGACAAATATTGTGTTTCCTGTATGAGATGTTTGCTGTAAATGATTGTATATTTATGTTTGTAAATGGTCTGTAGCCATTTGACTTTGTTGCTTCAGTGTCACATTAGCCCAGACTTTTGTGCATGACACTTAATTAAAATAAACTCAAACACAAAACTGTAGTGTCATTACTGACTAATTAGCCACTTCTGCTCAATATGATTCACCAAATGTTATTGTAAGAATTTAGTTTTCTCTTCTCCTCATTTATTCTGGTCATCCATCCATGTGATGTCACCATCGGCCAGCAACCAGGAAGTCATAATTAATAATTGTCTTATTCTAGTGGTATACTCTTTTCTATTTCTCAAACGAAATGAATTAACCTTTACTGAAAGTAAATGTGGGGGTGAAAAAGGTAAATACAGATCTGTGAATAATTGTGAGCATTATTCATTCACTCAATGCTCTGTGTTGCTAAGGTGCTATAGTTGCCACAGCTAACTGATAAAAGCATCTTTGCAAAAGAATAAGAGACAATTTGATGAAAGTCTCTCACTCTCATATCCAGAAGCATCTTACTTTGGACTAGAGCAGAGAAAATGGTCCGAACCAAGCGGCTCCACCATCTCTGCTGCTGTGACCTGAAGTGTCATTGCTTATTATTACTATTGTTAGCTTTTAAGAATGATCAATTCATTTATTTTGTTTGTCTGGAGAGATGTGTTTTTGCTGCCACTGGACACCTGAATTTCTCCTACAGGGATCAATAAAGTTTCAATCTATCCATCTATCTCTCTATCAATCTATAAGTGTCTTTCCCTATAGGAGCAAACACATATCTCAGATCTCTGTTGGCTTGCGGTCCACATTGTGCCAAGACGGACCAGGCTGAAACCTGCTTTGGCATAATGTGATTGCACACATACTTTTGAGAAAACAGGTCTCTGTAGGGGCTGCCGTGCTGCAGGGCCATGCCGTAGCCTCTCGTGCTCCTGCTGTTCCCTGCGATGGTCAAAGTGCAGTCGTCATCCGTCAGAGCGGCGTATTCCACCACCGCCATGTCCCAGAGGAAGGCATAGGGCTCCCGCTTCACCTGGACATAGGATCCACAGAAGCTGGATATAAAAGAGTGATCTTTATCGATGCAGCGACTTTCACAGAGAGAGTCACACAGAGCTTTACAATTGTTGTTGCCATTTTTCCTCTCACTCCACGCAGATGCATGCTGGTCCTACTGTACATGTTTTTAAACCCTCGCATACCTGGGGAGAACATTCAAACTCTTAAATATGTAACATATGTGGTTTTGAAAGAATATATTCATATATTCTGTAGATCAGTCAACAAATTAATTATTTTGATTATCAATTATCTGATTGACACAAAATATTCTTCATTATTCTTTCGATTATTGTTTAAGAATGTTTGCTTTGTCTTTTTGGATTTTGGCTTTTAACTTCTGAGGTTCTTTTTGAAAGACATGGTCGAGAGAGTATGGGGGGGTATTTGGCCCCATGTCTTGTTTGAGTGTGTGTGTGTGTGTGTTCATTGTGATGGTTGGTATGAGTAAGAAGGGTTGAAACTAAACCTAATTTCAATCTCAGTATTGTATTATTTGTATCCTGGTTTTTTTGTACAGCAGTACTCGTATTTGTTTAGCAGATTGTGAGTTGTTGTTGATTAAAAAAACTTGAATTTACATTTTGTAAACATAACATTCTGCAGTCATCATAGAATTATCTAAAATAAAGTCACCCAACCTGCCCAGAGTATCAGTCTGTGCAAGGTCCAAAAAAGACCTTAGATAGTTTACTGATTCACTTCACAAATATTCTGCATTATTCTGTACATATTTTGACCCTTCAACATGATTCTAACATTCTTTACCCAGGCACAGAACTAGCCGAACAAGGATTCATTATTTCCTGTGAGTTGGAGAGGAAAAGAGGAGGAATATTTCTGTGAATATGAAGCAAAAAAACCGTTATGTTTTGATCCTGTAACAAACAAAATTAAAAAATCCGTCTTGCATGTTGCAGTCTCGTATCCTTCATGCATATTACATACAACTAAGTAAAGATGCACGCAAAAAAACAAAATAGAGGCAGGTGTTACGGACAGAAGTTTTGATATTTAAAACCACAACCATAACATCTGAAGTTCTGCTCACACTAAAATGAGAACAGACACAAAGAGGGCGGGTCAAAGGAACACGTCCGACAGCGACCTTTGCAAACCTCCGCTTATAAACATGAGAAGCACAACTGCATTAGAAAGATTCTGTTACTGCACTTATTAACACATAAATGCCCTCTTTACAGGTTCAAGCAGATATATACTATACGTGGTTGCTATCGGTGACCCTGCTAAACGATAAATATAGTTTTCTTCACTGCTTTTATTTGGACCTGTGCCATATAAGCTATACATATAATAAGGGCAAGTTCACATCAAACTAATCAAGGTGTACTGTGCATGCTACTGTAATAAGAACTGCCCTGACTGCACTCAATTCGGAGAGAATCTCTAGAACCACACGGTCAACAGTCAGAGGAGAGTGCAGCGTTCCAAGACGCAAAACTGCATATGGTCAACAATCATTCTCTTATAAAGCAGCGAGCCTTTGGAACACTCTTCCAAATGAAATTATTTCATGCACAAATTATAGCACATTTACACGCCTAACCAAACAGTGGTTATTATCAAAGCAAACCTGTACGCACGGAATGACTGTGAACGCTGTAAACTGTGAGCGAGAGTGAATGATAGAAAGTGCTTTTATGATGTAAGCGTTTATGTATTATTCTGTATATATTTTATGAATTCTTTTAAGTATAACATCAACCTGTCCAGGGACTACGGGTGGAAATTAGCATTTTTGCTATAACCTGGCACATGACATCTCTTCTTTTTTAGACTAATGTTGTTTGTGCATTGTCCCTGATCAAATAAATAAAGTAAACTAAACTTGTTTAATTAAGTATTTTGGCTCACTTACTAAACATATTTCACATAAGAAAAGTTGGCATACATGCTTGAGCAACGATAAGAATGGATCTGGAGTTTTAATTTTAAGTACCAAGAAAATCTAAACGACTTTAGTATATATTGTTTATTTTCTCCACCTAAAATGAGTAATTTTGTTAATTGTATACCCCTACTTAATCTGGAAAGTAAAATAGAAATGTTGTTTTCCATATGTTGAATTGAAAATGTTATGGACAATAATTATTTTAGGGTCTAATTCAGGTTCTTGGATGTAAAAGGTTCTTGGAATATCTTGATTAATTTGCTTGTTAGTTACATTACTGTATCCACTCTCTCTATTTAGGTTTTGTCTTTATGGACATTAGAAATTTTATGGCAAAGTTATCAAAACCACTGACAAGGTTTCAAAAGCAAAATAAACCTATAAAAATAACATTGTGTAAAAAGGTATACGACCACGAGCCGTTTCATATTTCAAACCATTAGCGATACACATATCTCTGCATATTTCCGTTCCCTTCAGTGACTCAGGCCTGTGAATGACGACACAGGTCCAGTGCATTGGCAGTTTTAAGGCTTAATAGGCCTCCTGCGCCGCATGGACCCGTAGGTTTAGTGAGGGGAAAGTAATGGTCAGATGATTCACACAGAGCTGCAGAATCTCAGCAGAGGGTGAGAAGACACTGACTCATGCGGGAACGCACTGGTCCCATATGAGGGAGGACTGCTGAAATAGACATGGTATGCCTCTGCTAGCTGAGAAATTATTCCTCATTTAAGATAAATATGGAAGTAGAAGGAGCTGGGAGCCTCCACAATCCTGCACCACAGCCTGTGTCCTGGTTCTACAGCCTGTGTCCTGGTTCTACAGCCTGTGTCCTGGTTCTATAGCCTGTGTCCTGGTTCTATAGCCTGTGTCCTGGTTCTATAGCCTGTGTCCTGGTTCTACAGCCTGTGTCCTGGTTCTACAGCCTGTGTCCTGGTTCTATAGCCTGTGTCCTGGTTCTACAGCCTGTGTCCTGGTTCTATAGCCTGTGTCCTGGTTCTATAGCCTGTGTCCTAGTTCTATAGCCTGTGTCCTGGTTCTATAGCCTGTGTCCTAGTTCTATAGCCTGTGTCCTGGTTCTATAGCCTGTGTCCTGGTTCTACAGCCTGTGTCCTGGTTCTATAGCCTGTGTCCTGGTTCTATAGCCTGTGTCCTGGTTCTATAGCCTGTGTCCTGGTTCTACAGCCTGTGTCCTGGTTCTATAGCCTGTGTCCTGGTTCTATAGCCTGTGTCCTGGTTCTACAGCCTGTGTCCTGGTTCTATAGCCTGTGTCCTGGTTCTACAGCCTGTGTCCTGGATCTATAGCCTGTGTCCTGGTTCTATAGCCTGTGTATTGGTTCTATAGCCTGTGTCCTGGTTCTATAGCCTGTGTCCTGGTTCTAGAGCCTGTGTCCTGGATCTATAGCCTGTGTCCTGGTTCTATAGCCTGTGTCCTGGTTCTACAGCCTGTGTCCTGGATCTATAGCCTGTGTCCTGGATCTATAGCCTGTGTATTGGTTCTACAGCCTGTGTCCTGGTTCTATAGCCTGTGTCCTGGTTCTATAGCCTGTGTCCTGGTTCTATAGCCTGTGTCCTGGATCTATAGCCTGTGTATTGGTTCTACAGCCTGTGTCCTGGTTCTATAGCCTGTGTCCTGGTTCTATAGCCTGTATCCTGGTTCTACAGCCTGTGTCCTGGTTCTACAGCCTGTGTCCTGGTTCTACAGCCTGTGTCCTGGTTCTACAGCCTGTGTCCTGGTTCTACAGCCTGTGTCCTGGTTCTACAGCCTGTGTCCTGGTTCTACAGCCTGTGTCCTGGTTCTACAGCCTGTGTCCTGGTTCTATAGCCTGTGTCCTGGATCTATAGCCTGTGTCCTGGTTCTATAGCCTGTGTCCTGGTTCTACAGCCTGTGTCCTGGATCTATAGCCTGTGTCCTGGTTCTATAGCCTGTGTCCTGGATCTACAGCCTGTGTCCTGGTTCTACAGCCTGTGTCCTGGTTCTATAGCCTGTGTCCTGGATCTATAGCCTGTGTCCTGGTTCTATAGCCTGTGTCCTGGTTCTATAGCCTGTGTCCTGGTTCTACAGCCTGTGTCCTGGTTCTACAGCCTGTGTCCTGGATCTATAGCTTGTGTCCTGGTTCTATAGCCTGTGTCCTGGTTCTATAGCCTGTGTCCTGGTTCTATAGCCTGTGTCCTGGTTCTATAGCCTGTGTCCTGGATCTATAGCCTGTGTCCTGGTTCTATAGCCTGTGTCCTGGTTCTATAGCCTGTGTCCTGGATCTATAGCCTGTGTCCTGGTTCTATAGCCTGTGTCCTGGTTCTATAGCCTGTGTCCTGGATCTATAGCCTGTGTCCTGGTTCTACAGCCTGTGTCCTGGATCTATAGCCTGTGTCCTGGATCTATAGCCTGTGTCCTGGTTCTATAGCCTGTGTCCTGGTTCTATAGCCTGTGTCCTGGTTCTATAGCCTGTGTCCTGGTTCTACAGCCTGTGTCCTGGATCTATAGCCTATGTCCTGGTTCTATAGCCTGTGTCCTGGTTCTATAGCCTGTGTCCTGGATCTATAGCCTGTGTCCTGGTTCTATAGCCTGTGTCCTGGATCTATAGCCTGTGTCCTGGATCTATAGCCTGTGTCCTGGATCTATAGCCTGTGTCCTGGATCTATAGCCTGTGTCCTGGTTTTACAGCCTGTGTCCTGGTTCTACAGCCTGTGTCCTGGATCTATAGCCTGTGTCCTGGTTCTACAGCCTGTGTCCTGGTTCTACAGCCTGTGTCCTGGTTCTACAGCCTGTGTCCTGGTTCTACAGCCTGTGTCCTGGATCTATAGCCTGTGTCCTGGTTCTATAGCCTGTGTCCTGGATCTACAGCCTGTGTCCTGGTTCTACAGCCTGTGTCCTGGTTCTATAGCCTGTGTCCTGGATCTATAGCCTGTGTCCTGGTTCTATAGCCTGTGTCCTGGTTCTATAGCCTGTGTCCTGGTTCTACAGCCTGTGTCCTGGTTCTACAGCCTGTGTCCTGGATCTATAGCTTGTGTCCTGGTTCTATAGCCTGTGTCCTGGTTCTATAGCCTGTGTCCTGGTTCTATAGCCTGTGTCCTGGTTCTATAGCCTGTGTCCTGGATCTATAGCCTGTGTCCTGGTTCTATAGCCTGTGTCCTGGTTCTATAGCCTGTGTCCTGGATCTATAGCCTGTGTCCTGGTTCTATAGCCTGTGTCCTGGTTCTATAGCCTGTGTCCTGGATCTATAGCCTGTGTCCTGGTTCTACAGCCTGTGTCCTGGATCTATAGCCTGTGTCCTGGATCTATAGCCTGTGTCCTGGTTCTATAGCCTGTGTCCTGGTTCTATAGCCTGTGTCCTGGTTCTATAGCCTGTGTCCTGGTTCTACAGCCTGTGTCCTGGATCTATAGCCTATGTCCTGGTTCTATAGCCTGTGTCCTGGTTCTATAGCCTGTGTCCTGGATCTATAGCCTGTGTCCTGGTTCTATAGCCTGTGTCCTGGATCTATAGCCTGTGTCCTGGATCTATAGCCTGTGTCCTGGATCTATAGCCTGTGTCCTGGATCTATAGCCTGTGTCCTGGTTTTACAGCCTGTGTCCTGGTTCTACAGCCTGTGTCCTGGATCTATAGCCTGTGTCCTGGTTCTACAGCCTGTGTCCTGGTTCTACAGCCTGTGTCCTGGTTCTACAGCCTGTGTCCTGGTTCTACAGCCTGTGTCCTGGATCTATAGCCTGTGTCCTGGATCTATAGCCTGTGTCCTGGTTCTATAGCCTGTGTCCTGGTTCTATAGCCTGTGTCCTGGATCTATAGCCTGTGTCCTGGTTCTACAGCCTGTGTCCTGGTTCTATAGCCTGTGTCCTGGTTCTATAGCCTGTGTCCTGGATCTATAGCCTGTGTCCTGGATCTATAGCCTGTGTCCTGGTTCTACAGCCTGTGTCCTGGTTCTACAGCCTGTGTCCTGGATCTATAGCCTGTGTCCTGGTTCTACAGCCTGTGTCCTGGTTCTACAGCCTGTGTCCTGGTTCTACAGCCTGTGTCCTGGTTCTACAGCCTGTGTCCTGGTTCTACAGCCTGTGTCCTGGTTCTACAGCCTGTGTCCTGGTTCTACAGCCTGTGTCCTGGATCTATAGCCTGTGTCCTGGATCTATAGCCTGTGTCCTGGTTCTATAGCCTGTGTCCTGGTTCTATAGCCTGTGTCCTGGATCTATAGCCTGTGTCCTGGATCTATAGCCTGTGTCCTGGATCTATAGACTGTGTACTGTATCTATAGCCTCTTCACTGTATCTATACCCTGTGTCCTAGATCTATAGCCTGGATCTATAGCCTGGATCTATAGCCTGTCCGTCCGTGGGAGTGGATCCCTCTTCAATATGGCCCCCCTAAAGGTTTCTCACTTTTTTTCATGCTACTTGTCCAAAGAGAGTGATGATCTGGTGGTCATGAATTTAACATAAGCAGAAAAATAAACATTGATTCCAATGTTTTTGTTATTATTGCATGTCCTGTGTCCGAACTGTTTGATTCTCTGATCTATTGGTGAATCGAAAGATTTGTAAAACTGCTGATGTGATTTAGGGCACATAGAGCACTGGTCTTTGGACCAAATGGTTGTGGGCTCGAGCCCACCATGACCCATACCAAATGCTCCCACTGATGTCTGCTGTAGTTGTGTCCCTGGGCAAGAAACATCTCCCCGTGGACCCACCACCTGCAGGAGTATCAGTGAGGGACTGGTACGCTGAGACTTGGGTGGCAGCTCTGATTGCCACCCCCCGACCCAGAAATGGACTAATAAAGGGGTAGAAGAGGGCATGACATGGTATGACAATATACATGATCACCACAAATTAAAAGCTGGTATACTAACTAACTTTCAACCCTTACAAAATGAAACTATGTCCATTCAACCAGATCAGGGCTGGGGGCCACATCAATCACAGCTGAATGCGGCCCCAGACCCTTTTTACGGAAGTGATTATTGAATTAGTTTTGGTTTTAGGAATAATTTAGTCAATAAGAGCCAATGCATTGTATACGTGACATGTGCTCTTAGTGTCTGTGTGCGTGTGCATATGCGTGTATGTGTGTGTGTATGTGTGCGTGTGTGTCTATTTGTGTCCGTATTTTTCTGCATTACAGCTCTGACATGCTTTTTGTGAATGGGTGACTTTGCCTTGGCCATTAGGAGACAGCTAATGTAAACCAAGCATAATGCATTTGGTCATTCATCTAAGCTATGCTAATGTACGGCTCATGCGGAGGAAAGGATTTATAACCAAAAGCACTTCATGGCAAGATGGTGTTGCATTCAAATAGACCTCTTTAAAATAAAAGACAAAATATGAATGAAAATTGCATATTTACCATGTGCAGCTTCCTTTTACATTAATAAAGGATGAGAAATTGAATCTATGTCCTGGAATATCCTACTCCCAGGGATGAGGGAATACCGTAGTGCAATATGCATACATACTGTACATCTCTTTGGGAGTACATATTCTTTAGAACATGTTGTACTATTTATTTTGTATTATGATAAATGTATACAGCATCTCAGTATGTTATCTTCCTGCTGAACGAAGCTTTTTATATCGATTCCACTATCTCAACTTTAGCACGTACACACTGGTGGGGGCGGGTCCCGGCTCAAAAGTGGCCAAAATGATGCGTGCTGACATGCTTGCAATACCACCCCGGGCCGATGGGGGTGGACCCGGAATAAGAATTATTCATATAGCATTGGCAGACCTCTCGAAAACGTCTTTACAGGATGGTCCCAAAGTTGGCTCTTGGCCCAAAGCTCTGTTCCACATGTGTGTCAATGCTGAGGGGGGTGAATTTTTTTGGACCAGTCTAGTTTACTTGCTGAGAATTTTTGAAGTCTCTCGTTCCAATGAATGGAGCTTGCGCCGGCTGACGCATGCGCAGATGCGTTATTTCACAATTTTCTTGTGGGCGGGACAACTTGCGGCCATTTTGCACTATTTTTGGCCCATTAGTTAGAACGGCGGAGATAGCCGTGACTACGTCCATTATTTTTTACAGTCTATGGTACACACACTGCACAAGAAACCTGGGTTGCACTAAGAAAAACATGAAGAAGTAGATTGTTAGGAGAGTGTTTATCAAGGGTTCATCTCTTAACAGCAGAGTGTATGTATTTATCATGCACATGTACTAACACTGCAAACACTATTTTAAAAGGTCATGCTGTCAGACTGTTCACCAGATCTGTCTGAGTTAAACAAGTGCACTATTGTTAGTTAGTTAGAAATGATTATAACTGACGTACTTACTGTATGTGTTTGTATGTATCTACGGCTGGTGCTGCATTTCTCCTACAGGGATCAATCAAGTATCTATCTATCTATTTGATTCTATTCAATTCCATGTATTCTTGTATAGCCCTAAATCACAACAGTAGTTATCTCGGAGGACTTCACACAGTCGTTGAATTCGCCAACACGGATCAGAGAAATAACCAGTTCAAACACAATAAATAAAAAAGAAAACACATTGGTCCAGAAGGGGAAGATGACCAATTTCCATAAATGTTGATAAATGTCCATAAATGTTGTTGAATGTTGAGTGTCATCACCACTTTCCTTTTAGTTAGATCTATCTATCTATCTATCTATCTCTATCTATTTAACTTATATTTAACTTTAGCCCTTGGATTGAAAAATATACAGGTCCGTCAGTGACGGATGTCTGGCCTCATCTCTCTTCTATATAATTAAGTTGAATGATTTCCTTGATATCGATCCACGATGGCCTATTGCTGTGTGTGATACCCTTTGAATCTGGTCGTAAAGACAGTTTTCAAAAGGGGAAAAGCAAAGAGCATCAGCGTCTCCATCACAACAAGACATTTACATGCACCAGGCTGTGTATGGGCACTGACCTTCTTGATGCCCTCCATGGGGCTGCTGACCGAGTTGTCGTGGCCGTTGTTCTTGTTGACGATCTTCCACAGCTCTGCAAACGTGTTGTCCTGCTCCAGAGGGTTCGTACCTTTTGCCCGGAAGTATTCGTACACGGCCGAATCGCGCACCGTCCCGTACATGAGGTCGGACTGCTTAGACAGGTCAGCGAAAGACCTGCACCAACAACACAGAGGCCACGGGTTAGCTATCAGGACCATGCTCAGTCTGAGGTAATTCATATGAGGTAATACATTCAGACTGTTAAAATCTGGAACAATCTTCCTGAAAATGTGAGACAGTCACCCTCTCTGACAATGTTTTAAACCAGGTTAAAATACAACTGAGGGATTTTATATTTGTATCTTTCTTTTTAGTGTACTGTGATTATTTATGAGCAGCAACAGCAAACAACAGCAGCATCCATTCCATAACTTTTATCCCTTGTGGCAACTCTCAAAAGCAGCGATAGATAGATAGATAAAATACTGTAGTTGTTTATTGTCAGACACATGAATCCAAAATGTTTTTTAGTTTAACAAAGACACACTCGGAATGTTTCAGGGCAATTAGGGCAATCTATTTGACTCTTTCTCCAAATCGCAACTTTATTCAAGTCAAAATGAAAGTGGATGTCTAACATGCAGAGAGTGGAGGTGATTATAGGCTCCATAAACTCCTCTTGTACACCACTTCTGAAGCAATCCATTTTGGTCACGCCTCAGAACTTATCGTTTAACCACTTCCAACTCTCGATCAAACTTGCCGTTGTTGCTAGCGCGCCAATCGCTTCCTCTCTTCTTATTGCTCTTTATCAACCAAACAAAACCCACCTGTCGCCTACGGTCTCCCAGGACATACACACAAAAACACACACACCGCACTACTCCACCAATCATCGCCTATAAAGGAAAAAGAATCTCGTACACATATGGAATTATTTTGAATTTGAAAAGGAGTTTACGGCGTCAAAACGGACCAGTGCAGGTGTTGCGTTGCGTGCGTGGCCGAGACCCCAGCTGTACTTTACACATAGAGATGATTGCCAATTTTGCACTGCAGCATCTTCGCTCCAATCCAAATGTCATTATAATTAGACTTTGCTTCTACTGTGAGCGATAATCTCACCGCAGAGATAATCTGGCCCATAGCGTGTGGACCCGGGTCTTGTCGGTATACAGGCTGAAGTCTGCGGACAGTGGACCTCATCTGTTTTCATGCGCCATCGATTTTCTTGTCTGCGCTTTCTTAAAAAAAAAAAAAAGGATTGAATGGCTTATCTGCAGGTGATAATGTCAGGCTAATTCAGGCATGTAATTAAAAGTGTTTGGAGGCGCTGCAACGTGTGCGAGGAGTGCCGTGTTTAGAGGGTTATCGGATGTCACATGCGATTGTCTTGGAAAAAAAGCGGCCGAGGCGACTGTTTGTGCGAGGTTAAGGACGCCAGACTGGGGTGAAAACATACTTATGCAGTGTAAATAACACCTGAATAAAAATAATATTGTGTGTGCTCCGACCATGAACTCACGTAAGAGTAGACTTGTTTTATTATGCCGTCTTTGTGAAACTCATTAAGCTGCAGTATTGTATGAAATGGGCTGTACAAATATAATTGATTTTATGAATAATTTAACTTACCGAACAGTTTATGACCATACATACAGAAGATGTGATTTTTGTATTTATGTATATAACAGTTTATTTCCTAATAAACAAATTCTTTCTTTTTACGCCATTCATTGGAAATGTTAGCATTGTTAAGATTAAGATTTCCATTGAGGCATTACATTTTTGTATTTTCAAGTTTAACTTTCTAAATCTATTATGGTAAGTGCTGCATGTCTACCACTGGTTTGATTACCAATACTTTTTTATGTTAATTCAAACTTAATTCAGAACATCAAAACAGTTTTCATAGAATACCTAAGACTTGGTTTACAAATGGTAAAACTCACAAGATAAAATATTCAGACAGGCTGGTAACCAAGGTAACATTCATCAAACATATTTTATGCAATAGTTATGTGCGACACAACACTTACTTTCACATGTTTTTTATTTGAGATTCAGCCAAACTGCAAACATTTTCTCTCAAAACCAAACAGTGAATGCAAGTCAATCATAGATGTTCTTTTTTAAAATAATAGAGAGTGTGATGTGCAGAGAGAAGCTTGTGGTGATGGTGAATTGGTGAAGTCCATCCTTTCCACAGTTTAGGAGCCGTAACTTAGCAACAAGAACCTGGGGCCAAGTTGTTGGAGCCAAACAGACCAGACACAAACGTCCAGAGGTTAGTGCGCAGTACAAGTGCAATACAAGTGCAATAAGCTATGGGTTAGTATGTGAACATGTTAACTATTCTCCTCCAGCTCATGCTACTGCTGGTGGTTATGACAAGGGGAGAAACTGTTTGTATAATTGTTTGTGAAAAATTATGAATTTAAAAGAGAGGTATACATATTTTTGACCAAATGACCCTAATTAAAAAATAAATTAAATACCTTTGAAGTTGCAGTTATTACCTTTAAGGGTAACTTGCTGGTGCTTTTACAAACACAAATAAAGTGCTAGACAGGCCATCAGGTGTACCGCGCACTGCCCGAATGGCTGATACCCATATTTGGGTCGGTCTGCCTGCCTCATACAAAAGAATGTGTAAACGTGTTGAAAAATGTTCAAGGGGGTTGCACGTGACCGCGTGGCACTTGCAGTTGTTTACTGCATGTACTCATCGTCGCCTTTTTAGCTTTTTAGTGGCAGCAGTTCTTGCGTCCAGCGGCTGTGAGCCGCTTTGACAACAATACTGAAAGCGCACAGCCACAACGTGGCTATTTACCCAAGACCATATACACCACAGGACCATGCTCTGAATGTTGTGTGTGTGTGTCTTTGCGTAATCTGTGCACACAATAAATACACAGCTGCAAGAAACAGTCCGTGTCTCCTCCCGAAGCACGATTGTCCAAATCTCATCCCTGTAACAGACAATTGTTTTGGTCTGTGGCCGTCCCCTTACTCTTGTAATGTAGACCATTGCACTTTATTTCAATTGTTGAAACTATACTGTACATCCTCTACAGTATGTGCTCCCGCATACTGCATAAATAACCGTAAAAAAATAAATAAACAGGGCTGGACCATTTCAAAAGCAAAAACAAAATACACAACAAACCTGTATGTGGATCATCCGTGTGTGTCACTTTAAATTCATGTCTGATAGGTGCAAATGTTTTGAAGGCAGCAGCAGCGAGTTGATCTTGAAGGACGCACCAATGCCATTTTATTACAAAAAATCTGCTGACATTGTTGTTGTGTATTTTACCATGAAGGCCATTTCATGAAAAGACCTTCAGGGCTTCTCACTGTGTTTTTAAAGGTTGTGGATCCAACGACAAAGTGAGAAATAACATAATAACATTTTAATTTTCAACAAATTTAGGATACAGAAGAAGACTATTATCCCTCATCGCCAGTGATCTATCACTATTCTGAAGACGGAAATAAAGCAAAAGATCAAGTGGACTGAAAAGTGGCATAAAGAAAATGCATCCACAGTTAAGCAGATTAATGATCTTACTCTAACTATTAGAGTAATCATACTTTTAAGTACATCATTGGTTGTTTGGATAAGACATATCCGTTAAGTATACAATATAGGAGACAAACACGATGATATTCGAGAAGTGACAAAGTTTATATCATTCACTGAAAGTGTGCAAGCATTGTTGAAACCAAATTAGGCAAGTGCATAAATCTAGGCACCGCAAACAAAAAATCAACTATTTTGTACATCCTCCTTTTTCCAGAAAATAAAGCCTCAAACGCTTCCAAATGAGTCTGCATTCTGGATGAAGGAATTGTGGACCATTCTTCTTTGCAGATCATCACTAGTTCTTTGGCATATTGTAACCCTCTACTGTATATAACTATAGACGATTAGGAGTTGGATAATTGTTTCCTGGATTATTTGAGGAGAAACCATTTCCTTTCTAACAGACTCTTAAAACTAAGATCTACGGACTATGGACAAGAACAGCCAGAGCTTGGTGTTCCACCTGATAATGAAGTGCACTATTGTAAATATTGTAAATATTGTCCATCTTGTAAATATTCATTTTTTCCCTTCAACTAAACTAAACTGGGTGGCATGCAAACCTGTGTCCTCTCTTTGTTAAACACAAACCTTTCCTCCTTGAGGGACAAACCTTAATAATAATCTTAATTTTGTAAGATTATTATGCTTGTCTAGCCTTGTATCACAACAGTAGTTATCTCGGAGGAATTTACACAACCGTTTAATTCACCAACACAGATAAGAGAATCAAACAGTTTAAACACAAGAAATACAATGGTAGAAAACACATTGGTATTTGGGCAGATGATCAATGTCCATAAGTGTTGTTGAATGTTGTCTTGGATTATCCCCTTATACCAGGCATGTCAAAGTCAAATACATCAGAGGGCCAAAAAAACAAATTTGCTGCGAGCCGAGGGCCGGACTGTTTCAATGTTTATTAACATCCAGAGGCAGCGCTGGTGACCCCTGCTGGCTCGATAAAATATGCTCTAAAGCTAATCCCCATAAATATATAAAGATATAAAGATATAATAGACATCTGAGTCCATGAAAATAGAGAAAAACGCGATTGGCATATTAATGCGTCAATGGCAGATGTGATCCCGGGGGTCGTAGATAATTCATGACTTTGTCACATGTGCCTTATACAGTATGGACAAACTAGAGAACAATGGTTTTGAGATGAGAACAGGTGTCCTTTCGGTATATTTTCAGTGTTTATAATGAACTTTGAAAAGACGGGACCAGTTCCATACTTTTGGGATGCAGACGCGGCAGTCAAAATTCAAATGAAACTCAGATATTCCGAAACCAGAAGTGCCTCAGACATTCTCTGTTTTCTAATATTGATTCCAGCTCCCATGATTAAAGAGGGCACCTGACCTGCTGCTGTGATGACTGTGAGCCAGCCAACGCTCCCAGCTCCTGCTTCAGTATGATTTGCTTATTACCATAACTAACTTGTGGACATACATAAACAATCTAAACTTCTAAACAAGATTCAACCGACTCATTTTATTGTGTCGTGACTGATCACAAATATAGGATGAGCGCAAAGTAAGCAATTAATAATATTAGCAATATTTTATATCTGTATAAAATAAGTCTTCATTATACAACTTGAATCGTTACTTAAATAATAAAACACGCATGCACACACACACACACACACACACACACACACAATATGTACTTATTATAAAAAATGTGGTTCCTACTTTTACACAACATTACGTTTTATAAAAATAACACTTTGTGAACAAATTATACCACATGCCGCCTTTATCTTTTAGAAAACAGTGTGTATTTACATATTTCATCCAAGACATACTTCTGAGGTTTAACATTTTGACGTAATCTTGGCTTATAGTCACGTGACGCATAAACTTCCCGTTAACGAAGTGGTGGTCAGGCCAGCAAGAGTTGCTGCTGATATGTGGAGAAAATGCGACTCTTCTGAGTATTTTTTTGCTTTTTGGATATTTCATGACACTTGGAAACTACTGTGGTTAACGTTCTAACCAGTGGGGGCGGGTCCCGGCTCAAAAGTGGCCAAAATTATGTGCGCTGACATGCTTGCAATACCACCCCGGGCCGATGGGGGTGGACCCGGAATAAGAATTAGCCAATGCTAACATCTTAGCATCTTCTTACCTCTTGAAAACGTCTTTACAGGATGGTCCAAAAGTTGGCTCTTGGCCCAAAGCTCCGTTCCACATGTGTGTCAATGCTGAGGGGGGTGAATTTTTTTGGACCACTCTAGTTTACTTGCTGTGAATTTTTGAAATCTCTCGTTCAAATGAATGGAGCTCTCGCCGGCTGACGCATGCGCAGATGCGTTTTTTCACAATTTTCTTGTGGGCGGGACCACTCGCGGCCATTTTGGATAGCTCCAGTAGAGCACATTTTTTGGCCCATTTGTTTGAACGGCGGAGATAGGCGTGACTACGCCCATTAATATTTACAGTCTATGGATCAAACACCATTCAATCACTCATTACATTCATACCTATTGTGCATGTTTTTAGTGGTAGGGGAAACCGGAGCACCTGGAGGAAACCGGAACACCTGAGGAAACCAGAGCACCGAGAGGAAACCTACGCAGACAAGGGTAGTCATGTAAACTCCACTCAGAAAGGCCCTGTTCCGGCCAGTACTCGAACCCAGGAGCTTCGTGCTGAGAAGCGAGAGGGCTATCCACTCAGCCATAGTGTTGTAGTATTTGCACTAATTTGCTTGTGTATTTCTTTCCCGTAAGTAGTTGATCAGTATCAGATCTAGCTGTCATAACAATGTTTCTCTGAGGTAGCTAGTCGCCCACGCTCGGAATCCTCCTTATAATCAGAGACAAAGTGGTTGGTCCAGATTGAAAACAATGATACAAAAATGTGAACAACAACTCAAAGAAGGATGGAGCAATAAGACAGCCTCACTGACCTCTTAGACGGAGCCATCAGAAGAACTCAAAAGCGCAGCCGCCTATACACCGCAATACTTATTTTCCTAGTTCACATTTGCAGCCTGTGAGACCGGAAGGAATTGGAGATAGAAACGAGTAGCAGCTCTTTCCTATCTCCGCGGCACAAGTCGAGGCAACAAAAAAGGCATCGTACATTGCTGCTTACTTCTGGGCAACTGAATCCACTCTTTACCCGGGAGCTACAGTGTTATTTAATATTATGTAAGAATCCGTGTGTGGAATGTTTTATATTTTGGTTTTTATCAGATTACTGGCATGTTTTTTATTCTCTCCTCTATCCACCGGTTGTGTTTGGTAAAAGTATATGTAGTAGAAGTGATCGAAACCAGTTCTTTTACGCTTGTATGTGATTATAACACCAACCATGCAATTGTAATTTTATTGTCCAGTCAAAAACCTTTGCTTTTAATTTCCACATGCATGTACTGTATATTTAGGGTATATTTTATATTTGTAAGTCTGCAAACAATAACATGGTTTTTCTAATAAAATGAATACAGCATGTCGAGGGCTTATTTTGTCCACAAATATGACTGTTTGTTTGTGAGCAACATGACTTAAGAGGTTATGAAAGAATTTGTCCAGAACCTTCAGGAAACATGCACTCTGAGTTTTCTAGTTCGTCATGTAACTACTTATATTATAGTTCTATTTTTCTTTTTTCATATGACATGTCTCGCGCTGCTCGTTTTTTACAAGAGACAACTTCACACATTTCCCTTCTCACGTGTTTATGTAGCAACCTACTAATTACCCACATATCAAGAAACACATCAATCACAACAGTAGATCTTGGAGGACTTACAAAACAGTCAAATTCACCAACACAGATCAGAGAATCAAAAAGTTCACTCTTTCTGGTCTCTCTCTCTCTGGTCTCTTTATCGCTGGGCTCTCTCTGTCTTGGGGCTCTCTCTTTCTCTGGTTTCTCTGTCTCTGGTATTTCTCTCAGATCTCTTTCTCCAGGGTCTCTCTGGGCTCTCTCTCTTTGGTCTCTCTGGTCACTCTTTCGCTGGTCTCTCTCTCTGATCTCTTTCTCTAGGCTCTCTCTGGGCTCTTTTTCTTTAGTCTCTCCCTCTCTGGTCTTTCTCTCTCATGGTCTCTCTTTCTCAGGTCTCTCTCTTTCTGGTCTCTCTCTCTCTGGTCTTTCCCTGGTCTCTCTCTTTCTGGTCTCTCTCTCTCTGGTATCTCTCTTGTCTCTTTCTCTTTTGTCTCCCTATCTATGCATTTGGATAATCCCGTGCTCGTTTTCACATTATTTGTCATTATTTATGAGCCGTATAGCCGCAGTCGTCCTGTCTTTCTCTCTGTCTCTGGGCTCTCTCTTTCTCTGGTCTCTCTCTCTCTCTGGTTTCTCTGTCTCTGGTATCTCTCTCTGATCTCTTTCTCTACGCTCTCTCTGTGCTCTTTCTCTTTGGTCTCTAATATCTCTCTCTCTGGGCTCTTTTTCTTTAGTCTCTCCCTCTCTGGTCTCCCTCTCCCTCTGGTCTATCTCTCTGGTATCTCTCTATTGTCTCTCTCTCTTGTCTCCCTATCTCTGCATTTGGATAATCCTGCTCGTGCTCGTTTTCTCATTATTTGTCAATATTCATGAGCCGTATAGCCGCAATAGTCCTGTCTATTTAGATGTTAAGTTGTCCATGAGCGAAGACAGACACAGGTGAGTGGCGCCCTGTTTAACATGCGCTCCCTGTCCGAGCATGTCCACATCTGGCTGTTTGTTCGGCCATGCACCGACCCAAAGCAATCAAACGCCTTTCGAGCCATTCTTTGGGGAAAGACAGCAAACCAAATTGGATTTACGGACAAATAACATTGGGACTGAGGAGAGGCTAGTTGTTAGGCACTGGGTCAAAAAATCAGTGGCTCTTGGAGATGAGGAGTGCACGCTAATCAAGCTATAGCCACACAATACGACTATTAAGTGCAGTGAGAAAACAAGAGCAAGTAGAGGAAAAATCTGAAATACAAGTCAAAATATTGTGATGGACGGATACACATTGTGCGTGTGTCTAAGGCCGTGGATCACATCACGGTGACGGGAAGTGTTTCATGTGGCTGTCTGCTGTGTTCAAGGCCGAGAGAGTTTCCACAGTGTTATAGTATATTTCAAACTATGTCCGTGATGACAAATGAAAAACAGCACATTCACCTGAACTGATCTGGCAGAGAGAATGGATCAGATTCACTTCATGATGTAAGTGTTTGCAAATATGAATCAGTGACTTAGTTAAACATCACATTTAATTGAAACTCTTTTTGACTTGTCTGTAGGTATTGCCTAAAAAAGGTTAGATTTATTTTGCATGTTCTGAGCAATAACATCTAAACTTATTTCCAAGATAAAGAAATAAAGATATAAAATGCAAAGTTGATATGTTTTATGAACATTTCAGGCAACGTAACAAGACTGTGCAAAGTAGAAGTCATATCCGTTTTTCTAAATTACAAATATTTGGAAATAATAAAATACGATTGGGGTTATTATAATATAGTATATTTTAAATCTGTGATATTACTTTTGCAAGTTTTAAAGCCGTTAGAATCAATACATATAGGTAATCAGTGTTGGGTAAGCTATTCTAAAATTGTAATATAGTTGGGCTGAAGATGTTAGAAATTTGCAGCTCTGCTTACAGTATATAAATGTCTCTCTATGGCCTCGGACCAAAGTACATTTGGTACATGTTAGTGCAGTATGAACCAACTCGGACGTTGAGGAGCACAAGAACCGGCGTCCTGCTGGGGACACAGAGGAGCACAGGGACTAGCCTCCTGTTGTTGCCTGGAGTCAGAACTAAACACAAGGAAGCAGTCTAAAATCTGAAAAATTTTACACAGGCTATTATTCAGACAATGTTCCAATCCAGGTTAAAAAGATTTGTGTTTAGCTGTGCATTCAACTGAAGAACTTCACTATTTTCCAGGTACTATCATTATTTAGGATTTTAATGCCTTTCATTCTTTCTTGTTTTGTTAAGCACTTTGAGTTGCCTTGTATATAAACTATTCTTTACAAATAAACTCACCTTGCATCACATTCTATGCTTGTTCTACAGAGACCTTTCATTTGATCCTTTGCAGTTCTTTACCTTGTTCTTGCTCAGAACATGAAGGATACATCTGCACTGAAAATCATCCACAAAACTGTTGGTTCAGAAGGATGCAGCCTATACGAGTTCTTTACCTTTGAATTGAATCATTGAAATATCTGCCATTGACGATGGTGTCTTACCGTACAGCGTTGTCCATGCGTGACACGGTCAGATAAGCCGCCAGATTGGCAGTGTATGAAGAGCACACGATAAGAGTGAACAGCCACCAGCTTCCCATGACGATCCGCAAAGCCACTGATCCGAGGATGGCATCGCTTCCTGTGGAATGTGTAAAAAACATAACTATTGACTTCGGTGAATCGCAAATGTGTTGCTATTTTCTTGATCCAGAAATCAGAAGTTGATCATTTGTGTAGGTGTGCTGCAATGTTTGTGTTGATTGGCCTTGTTTTATGAGATGTGTTCTTTGTGTGGAAAAGTCAGTAAAATTAGAGTTCATGAACCTACATGCTGTCTGTGTTATTTCCAACATGTCTAACTGAGCTTGAGCTGGTGTTTTTAGGTTTTTGTCTCTTAAGGCTTCATTATTTCTTTATGTTGAGGATATGCAAATGTAACCAATGTGAATGATTCATATTCGTCATGCTTTTTAAAAATCCCTTGCAAAAAGGTGTGAGAAAGACAGCAAAATGTCAGATAACATGTTGAAGCTTAAAGCTGTAGAAATGTCATCACATATTTATAATCTTTATAATCTTTATTTATATACCGCCTTTTCACTGCAGATCAGAGTCTCAAAGCGGTTTACAATTGTTATTTTTGGGCATTAGTCTCTCACTCCACACAGAGATGGGAGCGGGGCCAGTACAGGAGGCACATGCCAGAACTATTGTACAGGTTTTTAGTGGTAGGGGAAACCGGAGTACCCGGAGGAAACCTACGCAGACACGGGGATAACATGCAAACTCCACTCAGAAAGGCCCTGTTCCAACCGGGATTCAAACCCAGGACCTTCTTGCTGAGAGGCGAGAGTGCTATCCACTCAGCCACCGTGCCGCCCAATCACAATCCACAGATAGACTGTGGATTGTGAAATGTAATGGAAACATGAAAAACACTGACGCCTCAGTCCGATATACAACCATCCGCCAACGCTCTTTGAGATCACACAAGGCTTTGATTGGATGAGTTCGGTCAAAGTGAATGCGTGCATTCTTTCACGAGGCTGGCGTGCAGCTATAATGTCGTATATGTGAGGCAGACTTTGTTCTTCTGAACAAATTGATTAAAAATCTCTTGTTATATTTGCATCATGGACTTTCATAGATGATTTCCTATCTATCCCAAAGTCCTGAAGGAAAAAAGGGATAAAACTATTCAAATGAGCAGTGATAAGAAAGTTAGTATGCCTTTGGGTAGATAGTTTAATCTGCCTTGAACAATGAAAGCCAGCCAAGTGTTGGCATATCATTATGAAATCAATGGGGGGATTTGGTTGCCAAGTTGATTGCTCTCTGACAATAGTGTGCTACGCACCACTGGTCAGATCCATATCTGAAGAAAAACAGATCCATTCCACTTGACAGAGACAAAAATTGGCATGTTCTGAGCCCAGCCAAACCCAAAGACGAATAGGCATTCTAAAGACACAAAGTTTAACTGTGCTCAGAACACAGTGGGCGGCGGTAGATGTCGTTCTGAATCTAAAATCTCATTTATCTACTCTGGTTTCACATGGGTCAACATCACACTTGAATTGAAATTGCAGCATAATGTAGACACGATTCAATCACCACTTTTTCACACAGTTTTGACATTCTGCACCTCTCACCTTGCTGTACGAAGGCTCCATAAACGATCCAGATGGCGCTTTGCAGAGATGTGGACACCGACGGTGTTGGGTGGCCTCCGGTGTTGCTTTGGCAGCGTACGGCCTGAATCCTCCGCAGCAGGAAGATCATAATGCCCACCACAGGGATCGCAGCAGCGATGCACGCCCACACGGCCAGGTCGAAGGGAGCCAGCAAAGAGAAGATGTTAATTTTCTCCTCCGATTTGCGCATCAAAATGCCCACAGAGTAGTCCAGGTAGCGTTTGCTGAAGTCCACCACACTCTCGCGCTCTGGGGTGATGGTGATGGCAGATAAGGCCAGGTCAGCCCTCTGTGGAAGAGAGATTGTAGGTGGGATAGTTACTGTCCATATGAAGATGGAAAGCCAGGAGAACAAAGGCAAACAGCTACTGCAATGACTGAGAAAGCACAAACTTAGGTCAATTTGAATTACTTTACACATTTGAAGCCTCACCACATACTATGCACTTATCCCCCAAACTAAACATGCATTTAACAGGACAAAATGTCATTCCTCCTAGAAAATTATTGGCACAAAACAAAACCAACCTTGCCAATAAGTTCCCCGATCATGCCGTTCCACGATCCGTTTGGCAGGGCCGTGCCATACTTTCCGTCAGCAACTTGGTAAATATCATACTTAAATCCCAGGATCTTGGCCAGGGCATCCAGAACGTCGATGGAGAAGCCCTTGTACCTCTTGGGTTGGCCTAAAATGTTCTCTGCCACCATCACAAAAGGCTCCTCCTGTCAGTGCCAAAGAACACAGTGCAAATGAGACAATATGTTACTGCTGTAATGATAGCGATCAGAATTATGATTGTGGGAATTCTGTCCCGAGGCAGCTATAATTCTTCAACTTCTGGCAAAAAAGGACTTAGGGCTACTTAATATAAGCAGGGCCATTTATCAACATGCAATGCAATCTTCATTGGGTTGCAATTGGCAACTCAGACAAGGGACATATTCATTCATCTTAAGAACTACAGTGTGACAATTTTATGAAGAGATTCTGAGGTGATCTAACTTAAACTCCATCTTAATAAAATGCTTTTGGCCGCAAACTGTTGACCTGTAACACACGGCACCGCCACAACTGTGAATGTCCATCATCGCTTGGATGGCCATTGTAAATTTCTCCTAGTCGATCATGATTCTTCTTTATGGGCGGATGGGGGTCAGGGCAAAATTGGAAGGGAGGTAGGGGAGGAAAAATAGTGAAGGAGGAAGTAGGCCAACCTAAATGACTTGATTAAGTGACATTGCAGGAAAGTTGAGAATAAATATGGCGCAGAGTAAATCATGTGTGAAGAAAGCGGAAAACAGATAAAGTGGGCAAGTCCGAGAGGAAGTGTATTGAATTGATGAAGCCGGCTGAGCTGGTGTGTTGTGGTGTGCAGACTTTAATGGGCTTCCGATGGCCGGGCCTTAAGAGAAAATCTGTATTCGATGAACCATGACTGAGCTGAGATCAAGTTAATGTGGAACTTTCAAATAAGAACGGGCTGGGTTTGGGAGGCGGCCTTGTAATATGTTTGTATAATGTTTAATCTGCCTGTGATTATCAGCTTCTGTTTCATTATTGGGTTTAATTGGCCCAATGTGTGATGGCAGATATAAAAGATGTCCTTCAGGCAGGCTTCATGAAAACCTGGATTCAAAACGAGTATGTTTTTGGTTCATTAAAGTTGAATGGCCTCAATAAAAGAATAGTTCCATTCAGATTTGCCTGACCCAAAAGTGTAATTATGCACCATTCGTCTAAGTGAAGGTCTGTCTGCTTGTACAGCCAAAGCCTTACAATATGTTTCACCCATCACAAAACTGCACATAATCTTGCATTTTAATACCCTATACACAGTGATTTTCAAAAGCGCTAATACTAGTACTTCTTTGCAAACATAAACTACAAATGTCCATAAATTATACATTTGGGGGAAAGACCTGAAAACTGCTGTTTGCAAACGCGTATTGTCTAATCGGGCCGAGCTTGACTTACTTTGATGAAAGGGCAAACATGTTTCTCGAAGTGCAAAGCTTGTAGAGTCACACCCCAAAAGATTGCAGAAGGTTAAACAAACAATTAACTTACAGTATGATTATGCAAGCCCCACTTTTTTTTCTATTTCTCTTTTGGTTGTTGTTGATGTTATTTGGTTGTAAATAATCTCTTACAATGTTGTGACCTTTACAATAAAAGGAACGCCTTTTTGGTTTAAATGCATAATGTGTAGAACCATGGCGCCAGAAGTACCTTGTGCATTAAAAAATACCCTAGATATATATTTTTTGTAGACTCTATGATTTTTCCTAACTTGACCAACCATGGACCTTTATAACCCTTTTGGACTTTGTTTTTTGTTTTTTTCTGCTTTTAAATCCCTTTGGCGGCTCATTTTGATCCAAGGGTATAGCACAAGGGTTACGAGGTGGATTAAACCGGGTATGGCATTACTGTAGGCACAGGTCTGAAATGCACAGACACCCACTGCCCAGGCCTATATGTATAAATAAACTAAACTTGTTCTCCAATGGTGCATGGTGTTTGCTTCTTACCAGTAATGTTACAATCTTGAGCGTCACCCCTTGCATCCCACTCTCGATGCGGTTTTCCTTCAGGCTTCCGTTCAGACCGCGAGTCGAGTCCCACGTCGCCAACTGCAGAAACAAGACAAGCTGCAGTTATTTTTACCAGCTTCAAGTTCAAAATACAGCTGCACCATCTTTCAGACAATATAGCATCAATAACAGCACCTGCTTTCGCTCAAAGTCAAATAATCCCTGTGAAACCACACTCCACTAAAAGACAACGTCGACATCTTCAGAATATAAACCATAACGTTCCACTTTGGGCTCGGTGATTACGGTAAAATTAAATAAAATCAATTTCACAACTTTCTTGGAACCACACGACGATTATGATTTTATGCAGTTCACGTAAAGTCAGTATCAGCTTGAAGCAATGAAGCGGTAAAGTTCACTATGTACTCCATCTGTCACTCAGGAGGACTGCACTGCAACACTGCCAAAACATATTTTCTGTCATTTATTCTTTTATACAAAATCCCAATAATGTTAGGTTTTACCAGACCAGGGGAAAAAGAATTTTTTTTCCAGATTCAAACATGAAATAAAATGTATACTACTAGAACCATATAAATTGTCTGACATTTATGGACAATTATGGTACTCCTTTGTTTTTGTTATTATTGCATTCTCTGTGTATGATTCTCTGATCTGTTGTTGGTGAATCGATACATATATATATATATATATATTTTTTTTTACTGAAAGATGATTCTATACTTGACTACAGTATATTCAAATCTACTCGATTCAGAAGAAAAAAAAACAGAAAAACATTTTACAAGCCAAAAGGCATATGTTGCTACATCTGTTTTGAGGTAAGATCAGCAAAAAGCACAGCATTTGTCTCAATGTTACTATTTCAACAAAGAAAGCTTGAGTTGCATTAATCAGCTTTAATTCAAATAGCCGTTTAAAAGTCACATAGATATTCTCTAATCCCTCCCTTCAAAATGACAAAACATGACTCATTTATGGACGTGAGGTGCGTTCTGACCACTGCAGAATACAGAGCAGCTTGTGTGGACGTCCGGGCCCAACCAGTTGCCAAGACAACAAGTAGCCTATTAGCATGCTATCAAGACACAGCACTTCAAGTTGCTGCAGAGTACGGCTTTTATCACGCAATGTCGGCAATCTACCAGCCACTCCATCAGGGTATGTTCACCGTGATGGAAAAAATCATCCAAACCCGGCCATTCTCATGTACATTTACAAATAAGCTGCAAGTACCAGGAGGGAGAACGTTTAGAAGAGAAATCGCAGACTCTACCTCCTGATAAAAGCCCTGTTTCCACCAGCCCCATTTGGCTCTATTCTACTCTGTTGTGTTTCTATTACACATTACTATCTGGTTCTTTATCCTGGCAAACCAATATCTGTCGAAATAGTAACCATGGGCTCCAAAAGCACTCTGGCTAATCACTGGCAGCTAAATTGCTATAAGATTGAGATTTTTAAGAGATCCTTTATTCGTCCCACAGTGGGAAAATTTAAGTGTTGCATCACCGGTTACAGAACAGTAGGAATGAGGAGCACACAACACAAGATAAATTAACAATAATGATATACTAACATAAAATAAAATCCCTAACTTTAGCATATAAAAGAAACAAATCATCCCAGTTCAGCCGGGATCATACCAGGGCCAAGCTGGTACAAAAAAAAAAAAAAAACCTGGTACCGGTTATATCATCTTATTTTCTCTTAAACAGGGCACTCCTAGTCAGGGAAGAGTAGAGCCGAGTAGAGTACAGAGTAGGGCTGAGTACATGATAAAGTGAATTTCCTTTTAATTTAATTTTACCATTTGTTTTTGCTGTTATTTCTGTGTCTGCAATCTTGACAATTCCTTGACAATGTACAGAATAAACAAGGCTTCAGTACAAGAAAGCCTACATTTCAAAGCGTCTGTCTAAAATGGGTACAAAGAACAAAAAGGGATCTTTGTAAATGTCCCTGCATTTCCATAATTTTGTATGGTAAAAAAACCATGCAATGTTATATTTAAAAAAACAAACCCGGTGCTTTAATAATGGAACCATTTAAAATTTCGTCGCTCAAATAGATTTTTCTCATTTCCCTTTTTTTTCTTTTTTACATTTGGCTTTCACGACTGCAGTGAGTTTGTCTGGACTTTTCGGAGCACAGACCTGTGAATAGTTAATGGGTCCTGAAGCGAGACATGGGTATAGTGGCGGTGGGACACGGCGTTTTGAGCTGAAGTATTTAGAGAGGTGGATGTGAGCTGACAGGACAAGCCCAGGGCCCAGGGCCAAACATCAGCCCCTCTGGACTCTGGAGACACCCTGCACCGGCCCCTCTGGGGACAACCACTGGCCCCTCTGGAAACCCCCTGCACTGATCCCATAGCACCAACACCCAGCACTGGACACAAGGCTGTTGCTCTGACCAAACTGTAGCCTATATGCTAGGGTTAAAAAATGTACTTTGTTCAGTATCGTATTTTTGTGCACATAACTAAATTGATACAGTTAAGTAAGTATTGCGATATAATTTTATATCACAATATGTGTTTCTTCTGTTTTTACTACCTCTGAGGTTTATGTTACTCTATTATGTTGGCTTTTTATGACTCTAGTCTATTGTATTTCAAGCTTTTAAGTGATGTGCTGGAGCTCAGTATTAATATGAGAGTTGTCTATTCAGGGAATAATAATGTCTTGTTCTGTGAAAAAGTCCTGAATGTTAACATTGTTGCACTACCCTCTTAGGTTATTGCATTTCAAATCATCTGCCGACCATAATAAATGTGACATTAAAGTTGAGCAGCCTTATTCGTTTTTGCAATGCTTTGGAAACATACTTGAATACATGAATTCAGAATTGAATTGCAATATGTTAAGAATTGCAACAATATTGATTTGAGGCCTAAATATTGCAATACTATCAAATCGTCACATTTTTGCTAATTCCCACCCCTAATATATACTGTATGTGTAAATACATGTCTACACACTGGCACCTGAAGGTTCACCCATGAGCTGTCCCCGCATTGGTGGCCTCAAAAACAAACGATTTTACAAATTTGAAGCTCACACTAAACGTCTGCCATCAAGTCTTACAAAACACTGGTGAATTATAAAGAATAGAAAAACTTTCTGACCCAAACAAGATTAGACTGGTCGTACCACACCATAGTACAAATTACATTTCGTACTGAGGTCTGGAGGTGCTCCATTGAACTCCGTGAACAGGTGGGAGGGGTTAACTCCTTTTGCAGATTGAAACGATTGGATCTGAGTTTACCGTGACGTATGTAATGCGCCCGAGTCTGTTGTTAGCATTTAGCATTTAGCCTAGCCATCTCCTTTGCTGCTGACGGAGCCCGTGGGGAATAGCGCCACAATTTCTTATAGCCATTACATTTGCTAAACATTCCTTTTGCTCTGGCTTCAATTTCTTGATAGAACCAGACCGGATTACTTTACTATCGCATTTTTCGCCATTGCCAAAGTACAACCTTCCCGTTCGACGCAGACTCTTGATGTCACCTACAAATAAATACAACACTCTCCTTCTGCGCTCGCTGGTCGGTCGGTCGAAATTCAACCGATTGTAATCGCTAACCCAGGGACCAGACCCAGACGTTACATGCAGTGAAATGATGATTGAGTGGAGTGTACGGATGGCTAAGGCCAGGCTAAAACAAGATTATACCAAATGTGTAACATTACTGAAGCCTGAAGCATCTTGGTCATTGTTCAAAACTCAAAACAAGACAACTTTTTCACTTACGCACAAATAAGCTGTACAGATCACACTTACGATGGGTGAATCATGATTGTGACAGGGTTGGCAATGATAAAACATCTCTGTGGAATGGTCATTAAACTTAAATGTATGAATACCCTTCATATTTTTCAGTTATGTATTTGTTATAAAACCCAGACTTTTACAAGGTAATGTCTCAAATGTAAAATGCAATAGCGCCCATCCAAGTAATGAGAGTGAAACCAGATCTGCGTAACATAGTGAAAAAAAGAGAACGTTTCAATGCTTTTTTTCTCTCTCTCTGGATATATTGTTCAACTTCACATATACTTTTTTTTTTCTTTTGTTGTGACGTTGGTTGACAAGACTCTTGGATAAGCGCCCAACGTGAGATCAAAAATGCCTCGGCTTAGACTCGATCCATGCGGTGCTGAAAACAATGAAAGAGAAATTTGAGGTTGTGAAACTCAATAGCACGTACGAAACATATCATTCATATTTCATGTTTCACCCCTGGTTGAAACATAATGACGATGATTTGACAGACGGCACCGTTGTTAGTTCTTTCTTATACAAGTGAACTGTGCATTTCTCCGTCTTTATACATGGCCATTGTCTCTACCGTTTTGATTAAATTGTATGTAGTTATATTTTTTTTGCTGTTCTATGTTCAGTGCTCTTATGCCAAACAATGGACCTATACGTGTGGCAAGAAAGACCGAATGATGGACCGTAATAGAAAGAGCGGCACATTCATGGCTCTCAGAGGACATTATAAAGGCTTTTGTGTTTTCTGTAAAAGCTTTAGGCAGCTTGTGTGGGCCGATATGCGGTGCGCTCTATGCATTACGACCAGTTCAAGGTCTCAAGGTGCATGTAAGCAAGTATGGAACATTCCGACATTCTCACCTACATTTGCATTTAGATAAGTGGAAGTTGTTTTGGTGTAACCTCTTGTTCTTCCCCATCAAACAAGCATGAGTAAATTATCTTGACGCAGTGATAATTTAAGGTGCACAGTGTCGGTGCAACTGATGAGAAAATATATTTCTATGTTCCATGGTTTGAATATATATTGTGCAATTTTATTTAATCGAACAACCCAAAATGTTTCAGCCGCTCTTACTAGAACCTAATGCACCTGACATGCACTTTCAAAAGCCAAACAAGAAATACAAATATAAAAACAAATCCATGAATGCATACACAAATAGAACATAAACAAAATTGGTTTAGCATAATATTATGAATAAAAAGTATGTATAAATGGGTTGAAATAGATAAAGTGAAAAATTATGTTGAAAAAAATAAAAAATCGTTAAAAAGGAAAAAAAGCG